CAGGTGGTATCTGGGGCAAGTGTATGTGCGCTATTATTTTTCTTGTGCCGTCCATGCTGCTTTCAGTGCAAGGAGAACAGGGGCTTCCTCCCTCCTCCTCTCACTGTCCATCCTGCCATGGATGACAGGCGCTCCCCCTGCTCCTTGACTCGGCTCCCACACAGCAAATTAGCCCTCCAGCTGCTTCAAGGCAGTACAGTCTGGTCATGCCCAGTCTGGCTCCAGACAAAACATCAGTGAGACTCGGGCACAACCTCAGACCACCAGACAGGGTTGGATGTAACACTAACATCTTTCACAAGGGGGGGAAGTAGATGGACTAAGACATTCCACATTTTGCATAAAGGTCTGACGTTTTGCCACCTTGCCCTTCCAGCACGTACAGTATATGTCCAGACATTTTGCTCTTGTGTGTCCGTCTTTTTCTTTCTAATTTTAGAACAACCCCCCTCGCCTTTGTGGCAAATGTATTGCCCCAGCCAGCTTGTGGTGGTGCAGTGATGGAGATAGGACATCTGACAGCTATCAGGTGTCCACACAAGCTGCCCACAGCCTCAGCTCTACAATTACCCATAGAGTCCCATGGCAGTAAAATGCTTAACACAGTGAAAGGCTTTCAATAAGCACTCCCACTGTAGCAGTTCAGTTTCTCCCCATGCACATTAGCTGCGATAACTTTACAACTTTCACCGACAGTGTTCCAATCTTTTGCTGATATTATGAGCTTAAAACTGACATGTCTTTATACACCGACACACTGAATCATCCTAAAATGATGAGTTAGCAGTTGTAGAATACCCATGTCCCAGTTCTCATTCTTTTGCCACTTTATCACCTGTTTAGGTTTGCGTGCCCTTTTCTGAGCCGAGATACCACTGTCCTTATCAGCTAGTACTGCTACTCTCTGCTCTCTCGCACTCCCCCCCACTCCCTTTCCCCTTCTGTTCTTTCTCCTTAGTCACTGTAGGAGATTTCTGGGAGAGGCCAGCTGATTTGGGAAGTTCTCCCTATCATCTCAGTCAGTCCCACTCCCCACTCACTCTCCCTCCCTCCACTTGCAGCTCTACTCCAACATTAGAACATGTGATGAGGAACAGGGCACCAAGGGAGCTTTCTCTGGGCCACTGCGTGGGCCTCTGCCTTTACTCCGTGACCTTTCTCCCAGTTTAGTATATATACTTGTACATAGACACACATGCACAAAAGGCCGGATGTAACCCAGTTGTATTTTAACAGAAGTACATTAGTGTGTGTGTGTGTGTGTGTGTGTGTGTGTGTGTGTGTGTGTGTGTGTGTGTGTGTGTGTGTGTGAGTGTGTGAGTGTGTGAGTGTGTGAGTGAGTGAGTGTGTGAGTGAGTGTGTGAGTGAGTGTGTGAGTGAGTGTGTGTATGTGTTTTTTTTTTTTTTTTTTTTTTAAATCCACAGCTGGGTAATTAATCCAACAACAACACAAGCAGGCTTTATTGGCACCTGTCACTGTAACTCCACCACCATCAAATACAGTATGATGGGTTGTGATCATGATGCTTTGGTTGTCGGTTTATACAAGAAAATGATTATTTAAGGTGTTCTGACAATATAGTTAATACCATGACTGTAGAATGGAAATGATGAGTCTTATTAACAGTTAAGGTAATGGCTAGACTGATATTTTTTATGGCTGAAATGACAGTTTTTGTTGTTCCATTTTGTCAAATGTGAATTTTTGTTTGAATCTTCTATTATTGTAAACAACAAAACAAGCAATTTATAAATGTCAGTTCGGATTTCGGAAATTGTGAGTGGCTATCTCCTTATTTGTGGACATCTAAGACCAACTAAATAGTTGTCAATTGTTGAAATAATTGTTAGTTGCAGATAGTAAAGTGGCATGGCATATCACCCATTCATGTTTAAGTCTAGAGTTTTCAAGACTTTTGTATACACTGCTTCTTGTTTCCTGTGTGGTTAAACATGTTTTTGCTTCTACAAACAGATTTGGTTCTGCATGTATGTGTGTTTGTTTTGTCCTTCCTGCATCTGTGCAGTGTGTAACTGCAGAGAGAGTTTGCAAGTTTCTGAGTGATTTGCATGTATTCTCGACAGTGTTGTGATGGCAGACTGGCAGACTGTGTGGCAGGCCAAAGTTTACTCACTTCTCTATTGAAAAGCTTACTCAAGACCAAGAGGGCTAGCTTTCAGTCGTCTATTGTCGATGTCTCAATATACCTGCTTTCAGTTGACTAATACATCAGTAAGTCAATGTATTGTTTCTATTGTGCCCATCAGATTGGAGAAGTATGTTGTAATTTAACAGTTAAACATGATGGAGGGGAGGGTGACAACCAATACAGGTGGTCCAGTGCACACTGCATGCATTATAACTGTCGTGTTCCTTAGCCACTTCTCAGGCTTCCCACCTAACCCTGATACGCCTCAGTTCATATATGCCAGTGTTAACTTTGAAATGGTGTTTTGGTGCCTTTTGCGTCTCTTATTGGCTGCATTTAAAACACAGACTGTATGAAGTCACTGTGTACATCTGGACAACCCTCTGCAATCCAGTTGCTTTTCATCTTTTAGCATAAGCTGTCATTGTGGTGACCTTGGCGTGTCTGTTGGCTATTTCGTTCTTCAGTTTTTCCTCCATGTTTCAACAGTCTGCTCTCCTTTCCACTGTCCAGTTTCACAGGTGAGAAGCACATGTTGATTTCCCTCCCTCGCCCTTTGTCCATCCTTTTCATCTCTCGGGGATTAGAAGCTGATTGAAACGAGCCTTGAATGTCTGTTGCACTTTGTCCAAGCTTCAGTTGTCTGCATGCAGCAATGCCACACTGTGTTCAGCACTGCTCAGAGGTGGTAATTAAAGGCGTCACGAAGGATCTCAGCCATCACACAAGGGAAAAAAAAAAATAAAAATCAAGGCTGTTTTGAGAGCCCTTGTGGGTATTGCCAAGTATAAAAGATGGAGGGGAGGAAAAAAATTTAGAGACGAGAGTGGGTTGATGCATCTTTTTGTCAGTGGTTCTGAGGTTGGCAGTTAACTGAGAGGGTAAGTGACAGTGGGTTAGTGAGTGGGAGCAAGAGGAAAAAGGAAAGAGTTGGTGTCGTTTTGAGTGACTTTGTAAAATGAAAAGGTGTATACTGTCATGCAGTTAAGTTAAATATCCTGAGTAAATTGACGGAGTGAAATAGGAATGGAGAGAGTACAGAGAGTCTAGTGTCAGTCTCAAGGAGGTGAAAAGAGGGAGCGTGGGACTGAAATACTTAGGCTGTTTGAAGCTTTGCCCACCCTGTAATCCTCACCTTGTGACTACTGCCTGTGACACGGTGCTAAAGTCCAAGCCCTTTCTCTCCGTTTCCCTCCCACTATCGTTTATACATGGTCGGCGTAGTGACAGGCAGCTCTCGTCATCCACTCTCCCGCTACTCTCCTTCCTCCCCCTTCCTTTCCTACCTCCCTCCTATGTTGCCCTGAGACGGGTTCCAGCCAGTCTGTGGCGGCTGAGTTTAGACCGTCATGGACTTGGCAGAGTTTGACTGCTCCCTGGCTGGTTACAGACTAGACATTACCTGTTCTGTAAGACACCCTTGTGTGCTTATGTGTTCACTCCATACTGTGCATATTATTAGTTTCCATTTTGGGGACAGGTGGTGAATTGACAAAGTGATGTAATCCAAAGGTGTAGTCAGTTCACAGCACTGTGGCTGCAAGGTAGAAACTGTCATGATGGTACTATTTTAAGTTTCTGAGCATAGTTTTATATATCCAGAAAGCTGAATTTCCTAAATCAAGGGATCTAATCAAACTTGCAAGTTTAAAATGCAACTGTCTAATTCCATTGTTACCACAGCTTTGATCATACTGCAGATTATGTTTCAGTCAATCAAGACTTGAGTAAATACAAGTTGGCAAAAGGATTGTTGAAATCAAAATTAAATTATGTTGAAAGATGAGGGAAGAGCGCAAAGATTTGAAAAAAACTTTTCATTGCAATTTTTTTGACCAATATTCGGATTTGAATTGCAATAATTTTCTAAAAATTTAACTCAAGAAATTTGTTTTGTATTTATGGCATATTAAAAGTGTCAAGCATAATCAGAAACTTGCTGTGTGTCTACTATAATAGGGTCATATGAAATAATCCAGTTACTGTTGTCGATGTCCTCCCATGGTTCAAATGAATCAGTCAGAGAAAAGCCAAACTCCAAATAAACTTGGTGCTCTTTGGGGAAAAAAACTGACAAATTTTGTCCCACATTTATTAAGATATTACATTTATTGTATAATTAACATTACTCAAGAATATTTAAATATAATCATGACAAATTCTATTTATTAACAGCTGCAAATTTGGCCAGCTATGTTAGTAATGACAAAGTGCTGGTAGGTCACATCTGACAGTGTTTTCACACCTAACCCATGCAACCCAACGTTACTGTTGACAGGTCTTTACTGTAACTGCTTAAGCTAATGTTATTACTTCCGACAACTCTGTTCATTAGCTGTCTTACCATGTACTTGACAAATAACAAGCGACCTGCTAGCTACCTAACCCAAAGTGACACATGGCAATCATCCAGAGTGTTCCATGTATGAAAAGGCTTCCTGATCTGTTGGTCCTTTATGAATAGCAAAAAGACACGTCTGTTTTCATCAACGAAACTATTATTGGTCATTTGTAAATGTACACCAGCATACAGAGAGCATATTTACCAGACAACACTTCTTTTTTTAATTTTTTTTTTTATTTGCTAGCACACAAAATTAATGTTGATGAACTACAATTTACCAGTTGTCATTTTTTTACCTGGTGAAATTGCTGGTTTAAATGTGCCCTTTTAAGACACTGGTGGTTATGCAATTAAAATAATGGCTCTTCCAATTTGAAAGTTGTTAAAATCCTAATTTTGATTTAAAAAAAAAAAAAAAAAAAGCATAATAGTTTAGGTCTGGGTGTGTGTGTTATTACAATTAAAAATGGCATATACTCAGTCTGTTCTTTCTCCTCTCTTCACAGGGTTTCTGTGTTAACTTGAGCCGTACCTATATGGCGTGTGTGAGCGGAGAATTTTGCCAGGCACAGCACCTCACCTCTGTGGAGAAGTGAATCGGCCGCCCCCTGAGGGACTACGCTACCCAGAAACCCCCCTGACTGCCAGCACATTAGGAACTGCAGACTCTTCTTCCAAAGGCCCCCCTGGGATATTGCGTAGTCCTTGGCCCGACTGCCCTGCCCTGTCCCAACCAATACGAAAAATCTTTGCATTCTACTTTCTCCTTGAACAGCCAATCACAAACAGCTCTCCTGAATGGGGTAAACTGATTGGATGACTCCTGGATAGTCTCTCCATCTTTTTTTCTTTTTTTTTTATTCTTTTAAATTTTTGGTTTTGTATTAATTCATTTTTCTCTTTTTTTTTTTACATCTCGGAGTACTGTGGACTAGTTTATCCTTTTTGTTACCCTTCTCTGTGTACATCATCCCATAGTTGAACACTTGTTGTCCTCCTGACCCATCTTTGTCCACGTGTTGTCACTTTTATTTATTCTACCCTTTCCTCAATACATAAATCTCCTAGCAGTCTTTGCTGACTTCTGAGCCAAAAGTCGCTTTTGTTTTGTAAGAGTATTGTATTGTAATTGTTTTTTAAGCCGTCTCGCCAACATGAACCGCCCCGCTGCAGTCGAGATTGCCTACGAGTGCATGAGGTTCCTCATCACCCACAACCCCACCAATGCCACGCTTAACAAGTTCACTGAGGTATGACCTCATCTGTCTGTTTGTATCTCTGTGCGTCCTTTTGTAAGTCCTCTACCTAAACTCCTGTCTCTTTTGACATCTGCCAGGAGCTGAAAAAGTTTGAGGTGAACACACTGGTGAGAGTTTGTGATGCCACCTACGATAAGGCTCCCGTAGAGAAGGAGGGGATACAAGTCCTGGTAAGAGTTGACTCACAGCCACATTTGTAGCAGCTTTACTTATTTTACGTTAATCCCTCCCAATTTATATTCTTTGTACTTTTGTCTGCTGTAGGACTGGCCCTTCGATGATGGTGCCCCTCCTCCCACCCAGATTGTGGACGACTGGCTCAAGCTGCTCAACACCAAGTTTCGAGAGGAGCCTGGCTGCTGCATCGCTGTGCACTGTGTGGCAGGGCTTGGCCGGTGAGTGGCAAGCTGCGTTTGTTTGTCCAGGGATGTGACTATAACTCAGAAGGCAGAGCTGACTATTTTGTCTCATCTTATGACTGTTGTATGGTTTACTGTTGCTAAAACCTCTGCTACTCTGCTACTAACAGTTCTGAGTCATGAAAGATACATTGACTGTAATATGGATCAGGTAGGGACATGAAATACATGATTGGACACAACAAAAGAGGTGGGCGGTGGCAGGTGTGTGGATGTGTTATCCACAGATGTTTTTTGGAGGTTGGAAACTGTAAACTTCTCCTTGGTGTAATGCATCCCATTTGAACTAACCTCTCAACCTCAGGGTACACCAGGGTCTGCTTTATCTCCACTAGAACAAAAAGAGTCCAAGGAGATGTGTGCCACCTGTAGGAGTCGGCACACACAAGGCCACAAAAAGCAATAATTAATTAAATGTTACAGGTGTCTAAATAAGTATGTCTTCTCCTAATCTTCCAGTCTTTAACTGTCTTCTGACCCTTCCTCCTCCTTGTAACACTTGTTGCTCCTTCAGCATTGGTCACACAGTTAAGGCTGGCTTGACTAAATGTGCTGCACAGTACCTATATTTCCTGTTCTTCTGTATCTAATCTTAGAAACCAATGATTCATTCAGTATCTTGAATGGTCATCCTCTCTTCCTGCTCCTGTTAATGCTCTGTAAATAGATCAGCTGGTTAAGTTACTGTATCTGTCATCTGTGACGACAGTGTGTTGCAGTTGCCTCTGCAGGCTTGGAAAGGGAAGGCAATTACATTTGCATGTGATCTGTCTGTTGGTCATGAGGTTGCACAGGCGATGTGGAGATATGCCTAGTCATATTCACAGGCCAATGTGACAGTGAATTTACAAATGAGTTATGCAGAATAAACAACATAAGTGTGAAAACAGAAGACAGAAGCACATGACGTGGGCGAGCTGCTGTGAAAATGTCTTTCCTGACCACAGACGCACAATAAGCCAATCAGTTCTCAATGGCTTCCAGCATTTAGCATTGCTGTGGCATTCGGGAGGTTGTATAATTACAAGTGTCAGTTGGACTGGCATTTTCTGAATCCATCTCCTCTTCTTCCCTGTCCAGTGTTTATTGCAGTCATTCTGGTTGCTTTACACCAGTCAATATTCTCTTAAGACCCTCAGTGTGGGAGGCTGCAGCTATTTGCCTTGTTTTGTTGTTGTTTGTCTTTTTTAAACAATATTCTTACCCCTCTTTTTACACTATTGCACTGTTTTTCTTCTTCCCATTTTATCTCTATCCTTTCTTTCTCACATACTGTCCCTCGTGAATTTTGTGTGAGAAAAGCCACTCAAGGAAATGCTCTGTCAGCACTGGATTTGACCTGCCAAGTTGTCTACAAAGTTTTTATATTTATTTTTTTTCCCCTCACCCTATCTCCTCTGGTGATAAAGGAGAAGGTTGTCTTACTGTAACTTATCAGAGTTATGTGTGTGAGGCTCAGGGTGTGAGCACAGGGCCCCAGCAGGGCAACGGTGAACTTGTGCACCCCTGTTGATTTCCCAGGCCTGTTTCCCAGATTTAAACACCCCCCACCCCTACCCCTCCACAATATTACTATGGAACCATGTGAACCTTGGCATTTAATCTTCTCTTCTCCTTCTCTCCTTCTTTGATTCTCTCACTGTCTCCTTGAACTGGTCTACTGGATTTCTTTACCTCTCAGAGCTCCAGTCTTGGTGGCCTTAGCCCTCATTGAGTGTGGGATGAAGTATGAAGATGCTGTGCAGTTCATAAGGCAGTAAGTACCCTCCCTACTTTTCAGCTTTAAGGTTTAAATAAAAATTTAGCATTAAGTCAGTAAATGGTGCATAAATAGAAACAGGGTGCATGTGAAAAAGCAACTGGCCCAGCCAAAGATTGACATTGTTCATGAGGTAAATAAGTTATTCCTTTTGTTGACAACTTATTAATTTTGGCATTTGTGTCTCTTTAGTCTGCAAAATACCAGAAACTGTTAACAGTAATTCCAGAGTCTGCTACTTAAGAGTCTTTGGCTTTGTTTCTAGAGTCTGGTAGTCCCGCTAGAAACAAAGCTGTACCTTGGAAGATGTCTGTTGTTAGAGGAATCCTTGCAGAGACTCCAGGAAGTTGCTGCTCCCAGCCAAGAAATAGTCTGGCACATAAACCTCCTGTGAAACCAGCAAATTGTCGTTTTTACACTTCAGTTTTAGTACAGATTAGACAAACAAGTTATAATGTATTAATTAGTGAGTTTAAGGTGCTGGCAGGTGGATTTTGTTGCCTTTGGAGAGAGCCAGGCTAGCTGTTTCCCCTTGTTGCCGGTCTTTGTTCTAAGCTAAGCTAACTGGCTGCTAACTATAGCCTTGTATTTAAAAGGTAAGAGTGGTATTGATCTCCTCATCTAACTCTCTGCCAGCAAATACAAGTGAGTGCATTTCCCAAAATGCTGAACTAATTCTTTGATCACTACAGTAAAGGCATAGTGTGTTGAGTTTAGTGCGGTCTATTGTGGATAGCATTGTTTTAATCATCTGTCCCCCTTTTTTCCTATGCTTTTCACAGGAAGAGACGTGGAGCCTTCAACTCCAAACAGCTTCTTTACCTCGAGAAATACAGACCCAAAATGCGTCTGCGGTTCAAGGATACCAACGGCCACAACTGCTGTGTGCAGTAGGCTGCCTGTCAGTGCATCTTTCTTATGCACATCTAGTGGGGAATCTTCCAACAAGGGGAGATAAAAAAAAAGAAAAAAAAAAAAAAAAAAAAAAAAAAAAAAAAAAAATGGAGAGTGCTATCAGTAATTATTGTGATGATTTGTTAACACTGAGTCATGGTTAATTGATCAGAGAGAAAGCGAGTGATGGAAAGAATGAATCCAGATCTGGGGATCCACCAGCTGAACCAATGAATGGAAGGTCAAAGCACACAGATTGGCCCGCCTCCCGGTTATACTGTACAACCACGGGCCAGAATTCTTTCAACTTGAGTCCATCCTGTGTTTTTTTTTTTTTTTTTTTCCCTCTCTCTCTCAGTTGTAATCATGGGATAACATTTTCCATTTTGTGAATTTTTATTTTTACACAAACAGTGGTGATGAAAAGATGTATTGTTAAATGATATTCTGATTTTTATTTCCACTAATTATTGATATTATGATTAGGCCAGAATAATGTACCTTTTAAAAATATTTTTAAACTTTGAACACATTGTGATTGTCCCGTTTGGTATTGGGTGTGTTTTTTTTTTTTTTTTCTTTTTCTTTTTTTGCACAAAAACTCAAAGGTTCACCTGAAAATGCAGTAATGTTTTTCTTTTACCCTTCACTTGCTTAAAGTCACTTTCAGTTTAGGGGCTCACTGAGTTTGAATATGTCTGCAATATTTATTCACAAGATATGCTATGTGTGACAGTTATGCGTTTGGCAGGGGCAAGGACACTTTGTTATCCAATAGTTTTTTTTGTTTGTTTGTTTTTGTTTTTGTTTTTTTTTTTTAGCCTTCAAGAGCCATGTCTTTCTTTTTTTTTTCTTTTTTTTTTTTTTTAATCTTGTTGGAGTGCAATAATCAGTCCACCTCAGATAAGCCCACCAAACCTTGCTGAGCATCCTACACACATGCACACATACACATACACTCTCATCCAGGCAGTTAAACAGGAAAAAAAACTTAACTCCTACAACAGGTACTTCTCCTGCGTTCATTCATTCTCCCTAAGGGGGCTACAATAGGACTTCCCCAAATATGCATATTTTAACTCATACACAAAGATCCAATCTGAAAGACAAGGTGGAGCAGAATGAAAATGGTCAGTTTTTTATCATTGTACCCATTTTGAAAACATCCCCAATTCGTATTGGTTCTTACAAGATAAATAAATTGAAATAAAAAGCATACATGTCTTTTGTGTCTCATTTGCACACATTTTAGTGGTACACAAGTAGTTGGACTCCACGCCCATTAACAAAAAATTTATATTGCTGGATATATAGCTATAAACCTTACATGTCTGTGCTAGCGGGTGCTTTTTATATTTTAGTTGAAATATTTTTGTTAGGCTTCCTATACAGTGTTACATTCATAAAAAGGCCTCAACAAAATGTAATGTTCATCCTGTGTTTGAAAATTAGTTAAAATGCTCTCACCTTGCACTAGGTGATAAACACACTAAGTGTTTCCCCGACACTGCTCATTGTCAAAGGCTGCCCTACATATCCTTTCCCCAGTGGAGAGTGAGTCAGCACCATGTGGAATGCACAGGACAGCGTTGTACTGAGAAATGAGTCACAACCTCAGCTGGTAATCACAACTACAACCATTACCTGAACCAATTGAACATGCCCCCTCTGCTGTTCAAATCCTGTCATGACGAATGCAAGTCAGAAAGCACATGTTGACAATGGGTAGTAAAATATACTAAAAGGTAAGATTAACAGCACAGTTATGTAGAAACAGAGACCAGACACAGTAAGTAATTGGAAGTTGCTACAAAATGATCAATCATCCCAGTTACTCTAAAAAAAGCCTTAAATTTATCCAGCTCATGTCTTTTGGGATATAGTTGTGTTTTGAGGTACAGCTGGCTAAGTAACAAATTCAAAGGAAGGTGTAATTATAGACTTACAGTACATGAACAACTGATACACTTAGTGCATTGCAGACCGCCGCTGTGCCATGCTCCCCACCAACAGGTGGCACTAAGAGCAAACAGGGTTTTAGTGGTGCTGTAATCGATGAAGCCCAGTAGATAAATGACTCACCATGTTGTAATTGCTGGGTAAGATAATGATCAAAGCCATAAACAGGTTGGCCAATGGGTTACTAGCCCAAGACAAGGCAGTGGCCTGCTGAGTTTCTTACTTGGCAGGTAAAGAAGACTCATCTTAATGAGAAGTACACCATCTTGGCCATCTGACTGGGGCAAATCTGCCTTAGAATCATTCCTATCTGCAATAAGGAAATAATATTTGCAGTTAGGCTGATTTCACAGATCACATTTATAAAGATGGATCACAGGCACCACAGTTTTTCAGGGCCACTTATATTCCATGACTCAGTGAAGTTGGTCGCCATGGATACCATTGAGCACCATAACCAACACTTTTCAACTGTGCAAAAATAATAATAATACACTCAGGTTACCTTGACTTGAAGTTGGTCACATCTGAGGGACGCCCACACAGATGCTCAAACTCCATACATCTAGTGGATATGAACCCAAGACCATCGTGCTGTGAGATGAAAGTATCAAAGTATCAAACATTGTTATCTATACAAGTAACACAATAATGATGAATTAATGTTTATAATCTGTCTATATATTTCTTGTATAAAGGACAATGATTAATATATAAGCTTTCTCTAAGTAAATATAGGACATCAAATTTTGATACTCCTTTATCACAGTAGACATTTTGAGGCAAGCACAGGCATAGCAATGACAGATGATAAAGCCTGCATGGTGCTGGATAACACTTGTAAACATTTTAATACCTTTCTACATTCAAAGACTATCCAAATGCAACTCAAAACTAAAAACTTTTTGTCCAAGTTGTCCATCTGTTTTTAGACCAAAAAAGATGGCAGCCAGAATGTAACAAATCTCCTTGCTCCTTTTAGATAATTATTATCACCAGAAGAAATATTTATTTTAGTCATACAAAAAGATACTCCATATGAGTTATGTCACTTCCTGCAGCCATCTTGGAAAATACTATTTCGTCCGCGCCACCTCACCTGTCGTTTTGTTTGTTCTTGCCCGACAGAAGAATCCTAAAGTCGGCTTAAATTTATCTGAAACCAAATTAGTATTATTAGTAGTATTAGTATCATTAAATAAAAGAACTTGGCATAAGTATCAAAATCGTTTGAACTTTCTCTGTAAAAAACAATTTAATGCTTTGCCACCTTAAATTAACAGTAGCGCAACAGCAGTGCTCTTTTAGCAGAAAGCATAGCTAACCACCTGCACCGGTGCTAACATTGATACCATAATACATCCATGATTGATACATGGAAATTGACATTTTGAGGACGAGGAGACCCACTACTTGCAACTACCTGTCGACCCACACAGTGCTAGCAGAGGATTGTACGATTTTCCATTCAAAAGTAATCTGCACGGACTTATTAAAGTCTCTGCTGTTTGAAACCAGCAAGTACCTGTGAATGTAAGTCGGAGACTCAGACAGGTACAGCGACATTTTCGACACAATGGACATAACTTCTACAAAGAGGAGGCGGACGTATGCGACGCCACAGGAGACTCACACAGTCCAAAAGTTCGGCGCATGGTTTCGATCTGGTTTCCAAGAGAAGTTGAACCGACAAACAGTAAGTGTAACTTCATTTTTATGAGCTGTGTTGTTGTGGTGTGTTGGCCGCCGGGCCGGGCTATCTCTCGAATATGTGTCTTTTTAAGCCTGATGCTGTAATTGATTTGCTTGGCCAAGTGGGCTCGTGTGTATAAATGTCTGGATTTGGGTGATTATTAGTGTCATGTGGTACATGTTAGGCCTGAGGCATTTATATATTTTTAGTTTGATTGAGTAAATGCGCTATTGATTTGCCTGTATAATTGTTTAGAAATCTCATTTATAGAATAAGTATGGTAAAGTGGAAGATAGATAAATGGGGATGTGTGGAGTTGTATGTAAAAAAATTCATTTATTAAACTGGAGCAGCTCTGAATCTCAGAACCTGAATCTAAAGACTAAATCTGATCATCACAGCCTTCATGAAGGCAGGTTTTATTGCAGGACTGTTGGACTTTTTTTTTTCTTAGCTACATGTTCCTAATAGCTGGCAAGTGTAGGTCCAGGGTCTTAGTGGCATTTGTTCAGATCATTATAACACTTGAGGCATCTCCTGTCTGTGTCTATTTGAACAAGAAACGTGTTTAAACTGTGTCTACACATCTCCATGGCTGGGATTGGCAGTGTGTAATATTAAACCTTATGCTTGAAGCTTGGGATGATTTCATTTTAAGAGTCATTAAACTGGCAGATAAATTTATACATGAGATTTCTTAGAACGGTTTGTGACTCCTGCGGCCATAAACATGTCACTTGCATTACACCATCTAATCTCTTCAGTAATAACCTCATGGGATCATTATAAGCTACTTGAAGTCTTTGTAAACCTGCTTTTCTGTAGTTTCACCACAAGTCTGCAGTATGGAGTAGTGCACAGTATACTCTGAACAGAGACATCATCACTCGATCTGTCTCCATGCTAAATCTGTGTAAGACAATGTTTGCTTGTGCAGACATCATGCAGCATTGCCTATAAATATCTTCATCATGTGTCATTTCTTATGTAAGAAAATGTCCAAGTCATTTTACCTTATTATAGACACTAAGATTATTTTCAGTCCTTTTACACATTTGTCCTCTGTGGTTCCACAGATCATGACAACATTCTTCCTGGCATTGTATTTAATATGATATTGCACTCCATAGACAGAACATATAGTAAGGAGCTGCTTGAGACCAGTGCTACATTTAATCAGATCATCTGCATGTATATTATGGTTCACTATAGTACCATGCATCAAGTATTGCACGGTTTCTAATACTTGGACAGACAATCAATATAAATATTACTATTGCATTGCTAACCCCAAATGGATCTGAGCTGAGACACTATTACCCCATTTTACGTGCATAGTCTGGTGTGTGTACCAGTAACCCAGAGTTTTCATAATTTATGTGGGCACCCCTCTTTGACTCAATTTAACAAACAACTTTCTTTGATTAACATGATCAAAGGCTTTGAAAGCATAGATAAAACACATGAAAATGGATGGGTTTTTAGCTCTGTATTTGCTTACAGTTTCCTTTAAGGCATATGCAAGTCAGTGCTGTGTTTAGCTTTAAAATCAAACAATGGACTCATATCTATTCGGCAGAATTCTTTCTAGTATGGGCCTGTCTGGGCTGCTGACTTTACCTGCTTTGTCCTTAATGACTGGCATTAACAGAGCAGACGGCACTGAGTCTGGTAACAAACCATGA